TCCCCATGTCCCCCACCCCCAAACACCCCCACAGCACACACCCATGGGTACTTTTGAGCACTACAAATTCAAGACCAAACCCCTCATTTTCTTTCATTCTTTGTTTGTCCTTCACAAAAACAAAGAACAAGAAAAAAATTAAACTCCCTAGCAACTTCAAAATTCTTTCTCCCAGTCTTTTAAAATTCCACAAAATTTCAACATTTTTTCCTCGATCTTTTCATACTATTTCCTACAATCAATTTTTATTATTCAACATGTCAACTATAGTTTATCAAGATTTCCAGTCATATTCTAACTCGAATATCATTGAAACAACTACGCTTAAGCTCAAAGTACCAACCCCAACTACTATAGTAGAAAATATCAATACTACTAACGAAAAATGCTGGAGTTCCGTTCAAAATCTCTCATCCATCAATTATTCGAAGGAAATGGAAAACTCTTACATACACAGGCTTAATGAACATAGCCTTGCATTATGTACTGAAAATTTGGGAAGTGAAACAGGAACTGATCAAGCCATTGACAACAACATTTTCTCATTTTCATCGCGAGAGTTCAAAACAGAGCAATCAAATTACAATAAGGTGATGAGTTATAAAAATACTCAAACCTCTCGAAAACTTCCACCTCTTTTAACAACGTTAAGAGGATCGAATTCTCTTCAATGTCGACCATACAGAGAAGGGGGTAGATTAGTCATTAAAGCAGTTGAGACCCCGCAAATACGTACCTACTTTCATGCTGAAAGAAGTAATGGCAGACTTAGGCTCTGTTTTCTGAATGATGGAACCTCTGTTCCAACGATCGATGAAGAGGACGGAGAAATGGAAGCTGAAAACGACGTATTTGAACGTGAAATTAACGATGACGAAGAACGAGGAGAGGAAGAGGAAGAGGAGGAAGAAGAAAATGGCCTGTACATGAAAAGGGACATGGATGGAAATAGTTATGATGTTGAGGCTGAAATTGGAATAGTGAATTGTCAAAGGGTAAGTAAGTGCAAGGAAGGAAGGCAAGGGAAAAAGACATTTTGTGATTGGAGGAACCCTTTATGGGTGACTACTTCCTAAAGTTTTTGTCTTTGGAACACATCAGTTTCTATTTTATTTTATTTTAAATCCATTTTTTTTAATCCTTTATGTCTCTCTCGTTATATTATTATGTTATATATCTTCTACTTGCATCATTATACTCACGGTGGATATAAGATTTCTATAACACAGATTTAACATTAAAAAAAAATTAGATAAAAGAAAGTGTTAAGCTAGAATCGATCATATGTACTTAGAGGGCCCAATGGGTAGCCATATATAGTTTAGGGCAATCGGACACTATTTGCTGAAAAATTATAGAAAAATTATTCAAATACACTTTTTTTTTTTATCATAATCTCTAAATTTCTTTACCATTTAAAATATCCTCAAAACTCCCCTCTTGGATACATAACTTCCCTCTCGTTGATACATTTCTCCCCTCTCAGATACATTCATTTTCCATGTATCCGGATCATATCCCCTCTCTGATACATCTCTCCTCTATGTATTCAGATGTCATATCCCCTCTCTGATACATCCCTCCTCTATGTATTCAGATGTCCTATCCCCTCTGATACATTCTTCACCTATGAATCTAGAAGTGCAGTGATGTATTCGGTAGTCCTTCACAATAAGAAAAATTATTTTTCATACATATATATTAAATCTTAAACACCCTTAATGAAATCTCTGACTTTGTCACTCCACATATTATTCTTACTTTGGCCCAAAGTAATTTTGAAATATTTCAACATGAAAGTCATCAAATAATCTTAGATCAATTTTAGAAAATATATACAGGTTAGTTTAACGGAAAGACCATGAATTCAAGTGTGCGGCACCATAAAATAAGGGATAGAAATCAGGCCGTGGAAGTGACCTACGAGCTAGTGACTGTTATTACAGTTAGTTTATAACATGGGAGTTGGGACCATGATCACGTTAAGTGCAATAATTTAGCAGGGCCTAGCTTAAGGATTTTGAACAATAGGTGCACATGACATGAACATGACCAGTTTCAACATTTACATTCTCACTCATGATTTTGGAGTTTTTGGATCAAAATTATTTGCCCGTATCACTTATAATAGTTAACTTGAAAGATTGGGTATTCAGAATATATTTTAATAATGACTACTCTTAATTAGTATAGACTGGGAGTTTTAATTGAGTTAAGTATTATTTAAGAAGTGTTCTTTTATTAGTAATTTGTATTTGACCAATATTTTTAAAAAGTATTTTGAAGTGTCAGAAATTTAAGAAAAAATAAATAAATCAAGGTACGTTGTTTTTATAGCCATGTTACACTTGCTGCACTTTTTGTGCAAATCTTGATCTGAGTATAAGTACAGTATGAGAGCTTGGTTGACCTGCAACATTTGGACTTCACTTTTCTATCTATTTTCCCTTCAGACTAAATATGTATTTGATATTTTTCATATTTGTATTTCCTGTTTTGTAGAGTTCTTGACTTATGTTGTCTGGTTTTGAAATTTTATGTATTACTTTCGTGTTTATTTATGATTTATTAGAAATGTGCACATTTTATGACTTGTAATTGCTTTTAAATGTTTACTTCATGTCTTTCAATAAGCTAAAACTTAAATTGATACGCCTACGAGGATAGAAGGTTAGTAGGGGTAGAATGTTGTCATAGGGTTTAGGCTTGTTAGTAGCTGTCGTAGTACTAGTTGTACACTTGTAGCTAGTTCTTGCTTGGTGTCTATCGTCTTATGTTGTTAATTTGGTTTCGATTAATACCGTACTGTTTTGTTGGTGTTTTTTGCTTTTCTTATTTCGTTGTTATGTGTTTCTTCATTGTATTCTTCTACTATTACTTGGGTTTGACACACTTGAACCGAGGGTCTTTTAGAAACAATCTCACAACCAGCACAAGATAGTGATAAGATCTGCATCACTCTACTTTCTGAAGACTTACATAGTAAGATTTCACTAAATATGTTATTATTATTGACCGTGGCCAAATAAGCTAACTTATACGTAGTAGAGTAATTATTTTCAACTTTCCATGGTTATTTTGGAGTGTGACACGGCCCAAGTAATAAACAAAGCAAATTGTATTAAAAACAAATTGAATCCCTTTGAAATGTGTAGTCCAAAAAGATATATTATACCCGTACTATGGTCTGTTAAACGTCGTTGTTAGTGCATAATTCTTGGATGACTTTTCTACCTTCAATGTTGGACCAAAAGAACGTAAATGATGCTAAAATTGGGAGCATTATTAGGCGCCATCAAAGTTTAAAGTAGGAAATTTTTTATTTTTTTTTTATGAAAAGGGAAATCCGCAATCACTATTCTTTGGGTGCGAACAGGGTAAAACCCCCGCTCCTATGCAATAGCTCGCAAACCACATAGGAGAGATAACCCGCACTAGGCAAGTCCGGTGCGACGAGCTCGACCCAGAAGGCAAACCTCTTACTTTCGAACTTGAGACCTCCAACATGGAAGTCCCAAGCGCAAACCACTGGGCCACCCCGAAGGGTGTAGGAAATTACCACCCAACATGGCAAAACATTAGATCTTAAAAAATTTAATATAAAGACTAAAGATTATAGCATGTAGCATGAAAATATCAAGACACAAAACTTACAAGTGTGCATTTAGTTTTTATTTGGTTGAGACAAATGTCACAGCCGACAGGTAATGTCAAATTGCAAAAGTTCCCAGGCCAGTAAGATAGAGTGTATACTGTATTTAAGAAATTTGCAATATTTAATTTGTCTCAAAAAAATAAGGCTTTATGCAAATCAAAATCGGATTAGTTGGGTCAATACGGGATATCAATTACTTAGTGATAAACCATAAAAATCATATAATGAATTAAGTGTGTGAACATTTATTTTTTAGTGTCATATCAAACTATCATGTGTGTGAATTTCTATCTGAACTATCATAAAATATTTTTAGAAACACACTATAACTATCCGTTGTTTACTTTTCCTATTTGAAATATCATCATTGTTCAACTAGGAAAAGTGAACAATTGATAGTTGAATTGTGTCTTGATAAACATTTAATGATAATTCAGATAAAAAACTCACAAACCTAATAGTTCAGGTATTAAAAAAACTGGGATAGTTTAAATATGTTTATGACGCTCACTCTTTAGAATACGATAGAAGTTGACAGAGACAAGTTATAGAATCCAACAAGACAGGATTCAAAAAGGGAATAAAAGTAGGATGTAAAACACAACTTTTGTTGTGATGTATTTATAGATTCAAAATTTCAAACAAATAACAGGAAAATTTGGGGTGCAACTGGAATTTTTGGTTAAATGGACAATTAGTGATGGCCTTCCTTTACTATCATGAGTGGCATCTAAATTAAAGTAATAATATGACTAGAGATTCTTGTAACCTCATACTAAAATATCTCCTTTGACCTAGCCTTTTTTTTCCCTTTTGAAAGATTCATCTTTTTACTCTCTTGGTAATCGAATCCACAATCTTAAGATTGAAGGTGAAGGATAATTATCATCTGAACAACCTCTTCATGTAATAGTGTATTAATTTGAAACCGCTTTAAAATAAAACAGGGATTTGGAATAGCAAATATTTGGCATGTGAAATAAGTGATCCACCGAAAAAACATGAGTCTATTATGAAATCGTCACATCTCTATATTGTTGAATTACTTTAAAATAAAATAAAATAAAAAGAGGATAATTAATAATCCTTTAATATTTCCTTCATTAAAAAAGAGGGAAGATCTTTGAACTACAACTTTTTCAACTTTTAAAAGTTAAACTTTATGAAATATTGCTTCGCTCCTTTTAATTCTCTAGAAACTTTAATATATATGATTCAAACTTCTTATTTTTTTAATTACATCGTCGTCGTTTTAAACAAAGGTTGATTCAAAATTTAATGTTATAACTTATCATATTTCTAAAATTTTGAGTTTAGATCTACTATTCCCACTTATTTTGGACATCAAAGGTAGATTTGAATATATATATTTTCTTTTTCCTCTCTTTTTCTTGGTGGTGGTAGTTTTCGACAAAGCTTACGTGTATAGCATACTTCCTAAGACTTTGTCAACAACCCAAAAAGGAGGTGTGACAAATTTTATCATTTATTTTCTAATTGCATAAAGGAAGATATCTGAGAAAGCCAATTGTAATAAGATGTTATAGGGTATACCCCTTTTTCCCTTTTCTTAAAAGAAAAAAATCAAAGGCATAGAACATCACAAGAGAAAGTGAGCTACTTAAATTTGGTTCAGATACCATGTGAAAAAATTAACATCTCAATCTAATACCTATAGAATTATGATTTTTTTAAAAAGTCAGCCCGGTGCACTAAAACTCCCGCTATGCACAGGGTTCGGAGAAGGACCTAACCAAAAGGGTCTAATTGTACAGTCTTACCCTTGCATTTCTGTCTGACGTTGTTTCCAATGTCTTTACCCTTGACCTCCTGATCACGACAACAACTTTACCAGTTACTCCAACAACTTAAGAATTATGATCTAAAAGAAATTTAGTTAGATTTTGCTTTTATGAGTTCACTTTGGTTTCAAGTTTTCATAAACAATTCAAACCTATAATTATACTTTCTGGAAAACTCAAAAGTATATCATACCTTCTTTTTTTTCTTGAACCTTAATTTACATACCCCTACTTCTATATGAACAAAATACTTTTTCTCAAAAAGGGCTAATGCGTGCTCTGTCTTATTCATACTTGTCTATTGTGCAACTTTATATGGATATTTTCCTCAAATC